GGGGGGGGGGGGGGGGGGGGGGGGGGGGGGGGGTCACCTGTAGTAGACGAGGAAGTAGCAGGAGTCCAGGGGAAGGTTCTTGGGACGAGACCAGGTCAGAGTGATGGCACCTAAAACATCTGGTGTCCACTGGAGGTTCTGCACTTTATAAGCCAGGGTGTCCACTGGTGGGGGAGGGGGGGAGAGAAAGAGAGAGAGTTTAATGAGTTTGGTGACTTACAACCCAAGTGCACACTTACAACCAGTAGGTGGCAACATTGCACCGCTAATGAACTACAATGGTGGCGAAACATTAACGACCTCCCTTTATTTTCTGGTGTATCTACAGTATTTCCTCGTATAAAAGTACTCGTAGGTACTCAAGTAAATACCAGTACTACAGTAAGAAGCCGTCCATCTTCTGCATCTGCAAATATTTCACAATAAAAACCTTTTAAAAACTAATTAATGGATTTAGTCAACACGAACGCGGGAGTGCTTTGTTGGCAGTGCTGCAGCGGAACCAGAGCCAGTGTGTCAGCTCTGAACCGTTAACCTGGTTCCTGTGAGATGTTTTTAAGACTTTTATCGTGAAGCATCTGGTGAAAGTGTAAACGTGTGGACCTACAGGTGCAGTTGTCCTCGTCGCTGTGGTCGGAGCAGTCCAAGAAGCCGTCGCACAGCTCGCTGTCCAGCACGCAGGCTTCACCGTCCGAACAGCGAGTCCCGTTGACACAGAGCAGAGGCCCACGGGTGGCTGCACAGCCAGGGGAGGGGAAACAGAGAGGGCAGGATTGTGTTGTTATCTTTGTTGTTGCATTGTCTGCATCTGAAATACTAAAGTGTGTTTCCTCTAGTGCAGACAAACACAATGACGAACAAAGCCGTTACACATTAAAGCTAAATATAAAACACTCGCGGTAGCCGAATTCAACCAAGCCTGAAAGAATATAAGCCGAGCCTGATATTTTCACAGATTTCAGATGTGCAGCAACTGAGAAGAGACAACATGACTGAAACTGACCAGAAGCCAAATAACATATTAAATTCTTTGTCCAAATCCGGTCAGAGCTCAGGTCAGGTATCCACACTCTAGTATCTTTAGATCAGCTGAGCAGAAGTTCATCATTCTATTAGTAAATCTGAATCCATCCTGCATCCTTATATCGAAAAACACTTTCTACAACACCACCGGTGAGACTCACGGCAGTGGGCTTCATCAGAGCCGTCCTCGCAGTGGAGCTGTCCGTCGCAGCGCTGCCAGTCAGGGATGCAGCGCGGGGTTCGCCGACACGGAAACTGACCCCGACTGCAACGACCAGGAGCTGGAGGGGGTTGGGTGGGCACTGGAGCCAGGGTCGCAGTTCCATTAACTGCTGTCAGAGAAAGACAGAATATGACCTGCAGTAGCTGCTGCTGTTTTCTTTTTAATGAAGTTTAACATTTTTATCCTCTGAAGTTCATTGTCATATGTGCACTGTAGATTTTCTGTCCCGGGAGGGGAAGTGGTTTCTCTCTTCGTGCATTGTGAGGGAACCACTGGATACCAATCAGCGGAGGTCGTACCTGTGGGACATCCGAGCTCGTCGCTGCCATGGGGACAGTCAGCGTAGCCGTCACACACCCAGGTGTTGATGATGCAAGCTCCAGAGTGGACACAGTGGAAGCGGTTGGGGGCGCAGGTGGAGGGACCAGGGGCCACAGTGTGAGGAGTGACGCCGCCTGCAAAGATGGATATTAAGTGAAATGACGGGGAATGTGTTTTGTTTTTTTTAGCTCTATTAAATATCAACATCACGTCGTTGAACTTGCACCATTATATATTAAACACTGTGGCTGCTGTTGTGCTGTTACTGCCTCCACACAGAACCAGGGCATTGTGGATAATGATGTAATATGCTTTTATTTATTTTTAAAAGAGGAACTTGGGTCTGATGAGTGTGTCGATTGGTTAACAGACTTCCATAAAGGTTTTGTTGCTTTAAAAAAAAAAAGAAGCCGGCTCACCTGTACACTGGGCCTCGTCAGACCAGTCCCCGCAGTCGTTTTCCCCGTCGCACTTCCACCACGTGGGAATACAGCGTCCGTTCCGACACTCGTACTGGAAATACCTGGAGCAGCCTGGAACCTCAGTGGGAGCAGCTGCAGCACAGGGAGCAAATGTTAGCATCAGGCAAACTGCAACTCTCCGTTTTAGGGACAAATCAGCAGAACAAAAAAATATTCTATCCACACAGTGTCATCGAGTGAATTCACATTTCCTCCCTCACCACAGTTGGCTTCGTCAGAGTAGTCCCCACAGTCGTCCATGCCGTCACACTTCCACTCCAGGCTCACACACACTCCGTTGGCGCACTGAAAGGTGTAGGCGTCACACACTTTGCCAAACTCCGACGATGTGGCTGACAGGAAACACACAAGCAAATTTAGATGACTGGTTTAATTTCATTATCTGTAGGTGACAGATGGTGCAACAACATCATGACAACAGGGCTCAGATTAATACGGATGGATAACAGCGAGGTAGTGATACTGATTTAATTTAACAATATTGAACTGTTTTCTATAAGCAAAGCTGACAAAGTGAAATCATGTTGCCTTCATGTCTGGATCAGCTTCGTTAAAAAAGTTATTTCTGGGGTTTTCTCCGGGGATCGCACACACACGGTGCTGCAGTGGAGGGCTGCAGCACAGACACGCTGAGTGTTCTCACCGCATCCAGCATACTCCGCGTCCTCATCTGATCCATCTTCACAGTGCTTGATCCCGTCACAAACCAGAGACTGGAACAGACACTGGGTTCGGTTCTTACATACAAACTCCATGTAGCGAGTGCACAGGGGGTCTGTGGGTGAGAGGAAACAAAGCAAACTGCAAAAATGACTCATGGTCCACAGACAGCGACACGAACGCTTCTGAACGCAGCCGGAGATTCTGCGTTCACAACAACACAGAGATCTCTGGAGCGCTATGGTGAGGCTTCGTTGGTTTCTTCTTCTTGTGTTGCTCCGATATATTTGTTATGTTACATCATATCTATGTTTAGGTTTTATAATTGCCTGAATTAAGACTTAGAGGATGGGTATGATTTTTGACTACAACAAAAGTAATCTCTCACCACAGTTGCGCTCATCAGCGCCGTCTGGACACTCCTGGATGCCGTTGCAGTGGACGGTCGCTGGCAGGCAGGTGTCATTGGAGCAGAGGAAGCCTTTACACCGAGTTCCATCTGAAACACACAATTCAAATGAAATACGTCCACTAACAGAGAACCATGAGCCCTACACAGAACCTGACGCTGCAACCTGATGTGCAACACTCCGCTTGGTAGCATCACATTTCTGGGAGACAGTAATTCCGGATTCTCCTGCTTCCGCCATCACTTTTGAATTGAGTTGAATATTCACCACAATATCGAGGGTCTTCGTCTGAGTCATCCTGACAGTCGTCATCACCATCACACATCCAGCGCTGTGGGATACAGTGACCTGTGTGACACTGGAAGCTGCTGGCCTCACATGTATGGTGGCCAACTAGGGACAAACACAGAGCGATTAAAAGGTTAAAGGTGATTAAGAGGATTTACCACGTTTCACACATTCGGTCTAGGATGTAAATAGATATCTGTGATCATGCAGTCGACGTGTACCTCACTAAGTACACAACCATTTGTTTGATTACTTGTGTTACACCTGGGAAAACATTCAGTTTGTTTTTTTAATTGAGATAAATCATGCGGTCAGGAACCTGTGCAGTTGGCCTCGTCTGACCAGTCTCTGCAGTCGTTGTCTCCGTCACACCTCCACGCCTCACGGATACAAACTCCTCGTGCACACGTGAACTCCCCCGGGCCACACTGGTGAGACTCTGAGAGAAGGACCAACAATACAGTTAGTTAGCCCTGTGTTGGCCCGAGTGTGCGAAAGAAAAGTTAAACTGATTTATTAGATGGCCAAAAAGATTCTCTAACGGTTCCTTAAAAAAAATATTTTTACTGAGTTTAAGTGGTTTTCAAATAAAGTAAGTCAACAAACACAAAAAATACCCACAGAATGGTCTGTAAATATAATGTATTGCAATATTTAAGCATGTTTTGAATTAGCATATACTGTTCTTCTTCCTGTTTTAGAGACTTTAACATCAATACAGTGAAGTGGAGTTCCACAGGGCTCTTTGCTTTGCCGAGTCTTCTACCATAAAAAAAAAACAATTCTTCACATAAACATACTTGTGATATCTGATGTTGTTGCTTCCACTATTTTTCTTTTCCATCATTTAACACTAATCTTCACACTGTCTAAAATGGCCTGGAGCAGATACAGCTTATTGAGAAAGCCACCAAAGTACAGCACCTCCAACGCATCCTTTGCTGACGCTATGAACAGCCAGCGCCAGATCTTACCACAGTGCTCCTCATCGCTGTTGTCTCCACAGTCGTCTTCGTGGTCACACTTGAATGCCAGCGGGATGCAGGATCCTGAGGCTACGCAGCGAAACTGGTTGGACGGGTCGCATGTTGTAGTAGCTTGAAGTAGAAGGACACAAAAGAAGACAAATAAATATGTGTGGTCCCCTTATATTTATCTACACCGTGAGAACTAGATGCTGTTGGATACGTACGACACTCCTGCTCATCGCTCATGTCTCCGCAGTCATTGTCGCTGTCGCACTTCCAGATGCTGCTGATGCAGCGGCCGTTGGAGCAGCGGTACTGGTTGGGTAAACAGCTGTGCTCTGATTGGAGGAGAAGAAGGATTACATGCACACAACTCACTCATCAGCTAGTTTCCCCCCACATGATCACACCGATCCTGCAGAACTTGCTCTCGTCTCACCAGTCTTGACGCAGGTGTTGTTTACGAGCTGGTAGCTGGAGGGACACTGGCACTGCAGCTCGCCGTTGGGCATGGTGACAGTGGGAGTGCCGTCTGGGCAGACACAGGTGTGTTTGTGTCCGGGCTGAGGCAGACATAACAGGCTGCAGGGCTGGTCGGCACAGGCGTTATGGCCTAATGGGCATATTCAAGACAGCGTGAGATAATATCTCTCTGTGATCTGCAGCCTTGGCCATAACTAAGACAGTGTATACTGAGGTTTCTGGCCTGTGGGGTCCCCCCTCTTTGTTCCTCACCTCGATTCTTCCCCTTGTAGAAGATCTTGAGGTCCATGACTCCGGTTAGTCTGCCAACAATCAGCTCGTTGCTCTGGGAACCAGCTTTTGGAGCTTTGAAAATTCCCATTCTGGACCAGTCGTCCCAGTAAAGGTCATTCTAAGATTCAACATGAAGAGAATTATGAAAGCTCAGGAGCAGGTTTCATTATATCGTGTAAGAGGTAAAGCAATTTATACAACACTGTAAGAAAATCCAAAGTTTTTTAAAAACGGATTATACTGGCGTACTTTGAAGACAGCTATGGCGTACGGGTGGGGCAGCCTCTCCATGAGGACGCTCCGCTGGCCCCCGGTGAAGTTGGCCCTCTCAATGCGGTCGCTGTACGCTTCGGTCCAATAGAGCCAGTGGTCATCAGCTGTGATTCCATTGGGCCAGCGGACCCCCTCTGACACAATGCAGGACACATTGGTTCCATCCATGTAGCTCCGGTAAACACCGGCCGCTCGGTCCCCCCAGTCCGTCCAGAACATCAGACTGTGGGAAGATGACAGCACCAATTTGAGTGGAAGTAACTTAACTTTATTCGAAAGCCTCAAATGGACATTTAACACATTTAACCTGTTTGTTAATGGATCCAAATTTGTGACAGTTTGAAAACAAAAACTTCTGTTTTTGTTATTTATCTTAATCATTTTAATAAAGGTTCATTAAGATTTGATTTAAGAGAGTGCAGTGTCTCCTTCCTCACAAATACAAGAGTCTTGAACTTATTTTCCTTTAATAAGAAACAGCTGAAAGGAGAGAACCGTTAAGTGAGAGCAGCGAGGCAAAATGAAATTCATTTGCCGAACAGAATAAAAATGAAATATTGGCCAGCTGAGCTCATTGACAAGAGAGGACAGTATGAATGATCTTCTGAGCTTTGTTTCTTGTGTTCACATGGGTGTGTGTGTGTGTGTGTGTGTGTGTGTGTGTGTATGTGTGTGTGTACCTCTCTCCAGGAAGCAGAACCAGAGCACGGGGATGTTCCAGGATAGACGAGTTGAGCAGGGTGTGACGCAGATCTCCATCAGGGTTAGAGACCTTCAAACACAACAGTGAGGTGTCTGTGTGTATTTTATATATTTATCATGTTCAGTGTTGGAGTGAAGGATTGTTGTTTAATCTCCTCTTTATACTAAACACTTGTTAACAAAACTTTTTCCAGATGTAAGGTAGAACTATTCTGTGTCATATCTCTTCACCGTGCTACACAATGCACACACATTTCATGGATGTACTGTATATTGGACTTCTTAAAATGCTATTGATGAAAATAATATTGCGATGATTATTGATATTGGTGTACTGCCCAGCTCTACTTTTATCAGGTTTATGGGCAAACAAACACAACACCTCTATACCTCAATCTTCTGCGCTCCAGCGTCAACCCAGTAGAGCAGTCGGCTGATGGGGTCAAAGGTCAGGGCCTCTACGTTCTGAAGGTCTTTCCTCACCACGACCTCCTGACCTGTGCTGCCGTTCAGACACAGACGCTGCGGGATAAAGAGAGACAGACAACAGGACCCTACATGTGAAACCTTGTGTGTAATTACCGTAAAACGAGAGATGACTGTGACGCGTTAACGCTTAGCTTCCAGACTTTCTCTGGAGTCTCTCCTGCCAGCACTCCAGTAAAAACTCCGGAGAATGTCCCGAATGAGCCAATACTACTTTATGTATGAAAGGCAAACTTCAGGGGGGAAAGTCTGGATCCAGTAGTGCAGACGCTCTCTGAAGTTCATGTCTGAAAACTCACCTGAATGGTGTCCAGGGAGATGTCGGCCCAGTACAAACAGTTCTTGTCGTAGTCAAAGTCCAGAGCCACAGCCTCCCTGAGGCCGGCCAGAGGCAGGGCCTGGTCTGTGCCGGTGGCCAGGTCGTACCGATGGATGGAGTTCCTCACCGCGTACAGGATGAACTCGTTACTCTCTGCAGGAACACAAGAGACTGAGCACTCAATCCCTTCCCAGGTATTGCAGACTTGATACACAGAGAGTATGCAAAACCTGATCTAACCACTACATACCTGCATTCTGCACACAAACAAACAACAAAATACAGAAACACGTAGAAAAAGCTAGCAAAATAACAGCACCTTAAATTCAATAAGGATTTTTGAGACATTTTAAATGCAGTAAATGCTAATACAGCAGGCTACTCTCACTGGTATCACACTTTTACTCTGTTCATGCTCAAACAAGGACGAAATAGAGCAAACGTGTGAGTGAAAAATGCAGGATTACATTTTTTCAGAGAGAGGAAATGCCTCAGTGATTGAAATGTATTAGAAAAACTTCACAGGGGACTTCAAATGTTCAAAGCCTTGTTCAATCTAATGAAGTGCAGTTTCACCTCCGACAGGACAAGGCAGCATCTCTCCATCCAGCCTCGACTGCACATCTCCTCCACTGCAACTGTCGCCCGGTACCTTCCTGTAGCTGCAGCAGAAAGCCGAGGAGAAAAAGAGCTTTGACTGTCTAACTCACCTCAGTGTTATCGTGCAATGGTTAATGGTTCGGCAGACATTATGCAAATAAACCACAAAGAAGAATGAAGTTTGCATATTGAGTAAAGCGCTAAGTCAGATAACTGGAGCTCACCCTTTGCTACGCCGGTAGGTGGTGCCTACAGGACACGGGACCGGAGGAGCATAGAGGTCACCGAGGAACTCAGGGTCCGGCACACACACCTGCAGAGACAGGTCTTCACTCAGCTTGAAGCCGTAGTCACTGGACAGAGCAAATTAGGAGAGAAGAGAAGAAGAAACCACAGTTAACTTCTGACCTCGGATTGTTCGGCGGCGCATGATGTGCATTTCAAAACAGACTCCTGATGAGTTGCGATGGGAGCAATAAAAATGTGCAGAGTGGGCTTGGGTTGTAATGTATTGGGTTGCCAGTATTTAAATGAAATGAAAGTCAGCTATGAGCCAGTCAGTTCCATCTACCTCTAATAAGACAAGAAGTCCCAGACACATTAAAGCTAATGAATATAGATTTTTTTTTTTTTTTAGCGAAATCATTTGTGCTCGGTCATTATAATGTGCTGTGAGAGAATTTGCCTCGTCTTGACTTAAAGAGCTGCTTACCAATTATTACCTCCTGCAGCGAGATTGTGTTTTCACCCGTCTGTTTGTTTGTTTGGTGGTTGGTTTGAATGGAATAAAAAAACTACAGGAAGGATCTCCACCAAACCTGTTGTAATGGGTCAAGTATTAATAAATCAGGTACATTGAGAGGACTGATATCTATGAGTGTGTGAAATTTGATTCAGCTTGTTAGAATTGATGGACCTTCAGGCACAACTTTGTAAATAAATGAAATTAATTGTATTAATATATAAATGAAAACATGTATTAAAAATTCTCAGCACTTGTGACTTGTAAAAAATGTCATGTGAGTATGGAATGTCTAATTATCAGTACATTCAACTCATATAGTTTGTGGATTTTTGAAAAAAAAAAAGTTCTGTATCTGAGTTTAAAACTGTCAAAGTGAATTTGTCAGGCGGAGACACTTCAAGGCCGATCATGATGAATAGTTCGCACCTGAGTTCTGTCTGTGACGTTCTGTTCCCACTGGGGACGAGTGAAGTTTGAAGTGAAGCGTAAACCAGAGTGATTCACTTCACAGTTCATTCTGAATATTCATTTTCAAGATGCTCTCTGCTTTGTTTTCTCATTTCAGTTGATTCACTGGGAACAACACAGACTGTTCGTATGCTGCTGCCTTATAGTTCTCATAATATCCCTTACAATATTGTTTTTGTCTCTCATCCAGGTAACAGAAGCTCCAGTTCAACCTGAGACCTTGCTTCCATCTCAAACTCCAAGTTAGACGTTCAATACTTATTCAATACTTTGTATTCCAACAACCAGCCCTGATGAAAGAGGGATTCAGTGAGTCTCTTACCATTCATAGTCCTGGCGCGTGCACGAGCAGTTAGAGATGGTGACGGGCCGGTCGAACTCTTCTCCGTTAAAACATGTAGCGTGAGGAGCTCGTCTCTTGAACGTTATTTCTCTGCCCAGCAGACACTCGTTTCCGTGCTCGTCTGACGGAGACCAGCGCTTGTAGTCGGCCTCTGAACACGGGACACCTGCAGAAAAAAAGAAGGGCTACAGATATTTGATGTTGACGTGGAACTCAGGTTACTTAGATATCTGGTGGTCCATTTGTCAAGGAGGCTTCAAACATACTAGTAGTAATGGGTTATACTGTATTAGTAATATATAGTATAGCAGGTAGCTTCTATGGTGTACTTCTTATACTAAATGGGAGACTACACACTCATATGTGCTTCTGAGCTGTAAATTATAAAATGACAGATCTGCTCTTGGATGAAAAACATTAATGCTGATTTTAAAATCACATTTATGGGCTTTATTTATTAATTTTTTTTACAAACAAACCATTGGTCGGTTTAAGTCTGGATATTCTAAACAGAGACATTACTCTTACAATAACGTTCTCACTGTTTTTGAGAAGATCCCTTATTTTTACCTGTGTACAGTTCAGGTTACAACTCAGCAAATCAGTCACACATTCATTTTATTGCTATTGATGTGAGTTAACCAATCATCTAAGAATAACTCTTCCTCTGTCTACACCTCAACCTCCTCCTCGCTCTCAAACGTACCCAGAACGTCCGACGTGTTGACCTGAACAATGAGCCAGCTGTGTCTCTGGTTTGCGTAGGAGCCGAAAATGGTGAAGATGGTGCTCTTCTCCCCCGGCTCCGTCAGCAGCTGGTAAACATACACCTCCTGCTCGGAGAACTGAAAGTCGGTCCAGGTCTCCCCTTCGTTGGTGCTGAACCTGCCAGAGACGAGGCTGATATTTAATTCATCCTTTGCATAAAAAAACATCTCAACCAGGTTTTTTTTAACCCAAACGCAGGAACACTGAATTATCTCTGCATGTAAACAAAGCAAATATATCGTGTCACCTGCCCAAGAAGCCTGCGGTGCTACTGTTGGCTTAGAGATGTTTTATTACGCTTCTGTTCACTTAAGGTTTATTTAGTTTTTTCCCCTCAACATCAAGCTGCTTCACTTTCTCACAATCTGCTCCTGCTTATTTACGAGCGTGTCCGCCGGTGCGTGCGCCGCTTTATGTGCTCGGGGATTTGACGTGGAAACCTTCCAGCCTCTCTAGGATTTATGTTTGAAACCGTTTGTTTAGCTAAAACCAACCGAACGGCAGATTCTGCTTCTGAGCTCACATTAGCTGGACTTCCTCCACAGGGAGAACATTTAAACAGATCTTGTGGACTTACTTCAGATGTGTGGTGGCGCCTCCTTGTGCGATAGCCATCAGGATACCACCGTGGTCCCCCCAAGTGTAGAAATGAGGGCCTGCCAGTGCCTGGATGAGAGGAACTGTGCTTAATAGGCCATAATATTATAATACAGTAATATTTCTCTGTGACTTGACATATTTTGTCATTTAGATATAACATAATTTATCTGAAAGAACTGTTCTTAACACAATCCCGACTTCCTAGATAGGATGCAACAGCAAAAGGACAGAACACTGAAAAACACGTTATGGTTCCAACTCCCAGCTTCGCTTCTCAACAGGAAATTCATTTCATTGGGTTTTTAAAGGCTTTTTCAACTTTTGGACAATAGCATCTTTAATTTAGACACATCATCTACCAAGCAAACTAAAATACTGGTCACTTGTAAACGAGAACACTGAGGTGAGTCTACATGGAAATATCAGATTCAGTGTATTCAGCCACAACAAACATACACAGAATGGTTTAAGGATTTAAAGCTGCATGAATCAATATTTCTATTGAACTCAATGATGTTCTGTTTATACTGGATGTGGAGAGATTAGGTTTACAGCTTTAAAGACCATAAAAAAATAGTTGTGGTTAATGAGAAGTGGATATTCTCTCTTATATATATTTCAAATAATAAAACAGTGAATTAATCAATCAAGTATTCAGAATATTCAATAAGGGACTAATTAAACTATAGAAGGCAAAGATGCAGAGAAATCTATCATGCTTTCAGGCACTGAAGTGAAATTCATTGCAACGTTTCAAAAACGCTCCGACAGTCAGGCGAGCAGTGTCTTTCTTGTGATCCGTGTCAGATTGTGTACTGACCTCTCTCCACCGGGCTCCGGCACTGCTCGACACATACACATTAGGTTTGCTGGCCAGGTTCCTGCCCACAGATCCTGCAGTCAGAGGAGAAACAGACGTTTCACACGCAGGCTCTGCTGGAGCTTCCCACTGAATATTACAGTCTTGGTGTGACCACTGTTGTTGCTTTCACAGTTGGAAAATGTGTAACCTAAGAAGTCAAACCACTGCGTTCACTTCTGTCACTTCTCATGCATGTGGCTGCTGCGTGCAGTGTCAAATACTTTCTTCTGCTGAGAACACATAAAACTCGTCTTCAGCTTCGTTAATGCGAGTGATGAAGTAATCAAACCAGACCAAAAACACTGCAGTCCTCTCTTCTGTAGATTTGGGACTTCACCACTGCCTCCGCGAGACGACCACGTGCATACTTCTCACATGTTTTCGCCTTTCTCTGCTACTTTGGTTAGAAATTCATATGAAAGAATTTCATCTTAAACTTTGTTGAAAACTAATGAAAGCACTTTGTGATGAAGTTCAGCTTCCAGCAGTCGAAGTGGAGTTTGTCTGGATCAAGTTACAAACAACTACAAAGCCGCACACTTTAATCGACTCGCTGAAAAAACTCTGCACAACTTTAAGTGTCAATTATTTCTGCTATAGTAAGGATACCACATAAATATGAGTATTTGTGGGGGTATAGTGAGGGGTATTGTTTTACACGCAGTATATCATGCCTTGCACACTTGCAGCCTGAAAGGTGCACATTATGAAATACTTCTTACATTCAGAGGTGCAGACCTGGTTGAACACTCCTGACATCAACTGCAATGCTCATCGTTATCGAGTAAATGTTTAAATCCTAGGATTGTTTCTGATCCTCAGTAGTTTTACTGGTGTTGTCAAACATGTTTGTTATGTTGTGAGCAAAGTGAAAGTGTTCAGAGATGTGTCTGGTTGTACTGGATGGTGGGAGCCACTTGATGATATCATCACCAGAGTAAATACAGTTCACCCCAGAGGGAAAACATCTTTGAGCCTAATCTTTTCTCATTCCATCCAGTGGATGTTGATGTTCTGCTGAATGAATTAAAAACTCTGACCTGCGTCTGAGCCTCCAAGTACAAGGAGCTCTCTGCGGGGACAGGCACAGATCAGAGCGAGGTTATAAAAACACTCCAAAAGCTTTGAGTGTTTCCAGGAACTTATTTTGGCCACAGTGACTAACCAGGCAAGTGACTCCGACAGGGCCTCAGAAGTCCTCTGCGGAAATGAGGGAACCTGCTGGAAGAACGACCGTCTCAGCAGTACTCCATCAATCAGGTCTTTATAGTTCCAGAGACTCCACTTGGAGTAAAAGCCAAATGCCATTTAAAGGAGTCTGAGAGTACGAGGAGAATGGTTCTGTAGTCTGACGCAACAATGACACTTATCACCACACAGTTGTTCACCTCCGTCAACCAGTCAATTTGCAGTTCATGTTCCCGTCTGCCCAGAATCCTAATATGTGAAGCTTGGGAAGACATAAAAAGAACTTAATACAATTATTAACTTCTTTTTTGTGATACAGATTTAAAATTTAAAAAAAGATTTGATTTGACTTTGGAAAACTTTGTTGTCATGTTTTATGTCTACTGAATTAGTTCAGTGAGAGAAATAAGATTCCAGATTCCAACAAAGTCTAGTTTCATTGATTCGGACAAAACACAAATCATAACTAGAATGTCGCTCAGTAGAGCACATCGGTCTCTGTTTGGTTTTTTGATAAATCAAATTCTACTGAGTTCAAATCCTCACATTCAAGTTAACGTTTAGAACAAATCAAAAGAAACCCCCTCAGGAAGTTTCTAACATACCACTTTCAGACAGACGGACACAAAACCACAAAACCACCTCTGACCACGGCTGCCGCTGGCGTCGGCCATAAACGTGAAAGGTCTGAGGGGGGGTGAACAACAGGCGTTGCTCATCAGTTGGCTACTACCACCCTAATGAAGTGTGGCATCATCATCATCATCATTAAATTAAGCTGATTGAAGACTACAGAGCGAGGAAGGCAATAAAAAGTTCAATCCTTCCGGCCGTAAATAAATTTCCACTGTCTGACATTTCATTAAGAAACAGCAGCTAAAGAGAACAGAGGGGAAACGAGAATTAAGAAACAACGAAAGGAAAAGATTTCGAAACAGAGCGAAAGTGATCCTACAGATGTTTTTATAAGAGTTTAATAAAACTGCAGGTCTGCTGTTCAGAAAGGCAAAGTACCACCCCCGCATGAATACTAAGCAGCGGCAGCAGAGTTTATCAGACAAAGGAGTCATCCTCAGAAGCCTGTACGCAGAACTGAAACATTAAAGTCCACTTCTTCAATTTGCCTGGAGAACACGTCACCGACTGTAAAGAGTGGAAATGATATTTTTGGGGGGTTGTGTGGCAGCCAGCGGCACAGGAAGCCATTTGCAGGTGGAGGATAGAATGGATTTCACTCATTAGTGCAAACTCTGGATGTAAATGTCAAGAGAATGAAAAACGTTTAACGTTTGATGGAGGGCTCCTTTTGAACGTTGCACGTTAACTTCTGCACGAATGAAAAATAAATGAATTTACTGTTTGTCTGTGTTTTATCACGTATGTGAGTTCGGGTATTGTCTGGTGCTTTTAAATACAGTATATGGAAAAAAATTATAAAAAGAGTATATTCATTTCACACTAATATCCTCAAACTGAAATATTAATCAAGCATGTGGAAGAATGGTCAGTTCAGGTTGTGTATGTAATCATGGTTGTATAGGTTGTGCGGCTGCCTGTCTGAGTGTGTGTGACCCGTCGAGTGCCCTCTGGGGGCTGCAGCAGTAATTAGCCCATCTGTTCACAAGTGATAATGAAGTGAATGGCACCAGTGATTGCCACTCATCCTTCCTCCCCCTCTCTTTCTCCCTCCCTCTTTCTCTCTCTCTCTCCACGCTCTTTATGTAGTAAGAATTTAATTAGAGGGAAAGCAGCCTCCCAGACACTGAAGAGCATCAAGACATCAATGTTGTCCACCAGCTGTGAGAGTAAAACTGCAGGGAGCGTCTACCTCCTTCTGATGACTTCTGTCTGCAACACGTTGAAGCCATTTTCCAATTCATTTAGTTAATTCGTCTGGATCTCTCGCCTGTTTGCACGCTGCACGTTGCACAAACTGAGGAAGAAGTTTCCAGTGTAAGATCTTCAGAAGCGCAACCACATTTCTATGAACAAAGACAGACACGGTGCGCAGTGACCACAGAGGAAGACCTGTGGGTTTCCACGGCTTGTTTTGCTGTCAAGGACGAATTTGTCTGTCATCAGAACAAGAGGAAGTTGGTGCATAACCCGATGATAACAGCAGCTCTATCACTGAGACAATCCTCCAACAGGCTGCGATAAGAAAGATGACTGCTGCCAAGTAAAAGTTTTTTTCCCCCACTGTATTGCAGAATAGGAAGAATGTGATTATTAAGCTTGTGGAAGAACTCGTATCTGTGATGTGGATGCTTTTCGTCCCACCTGTGGCCATGATGACTCCGGGTGCGGAGTCCTTAGATAAAATGGGCATCCTCCTCAGCTGGATGTTGAACAGCTGGCTCCAGCGCTGGGCCAGGTGAAGAGAGCAACCTTTACTGAGCTGAAGGAGAGAAGGATCACAGGGTGTTGTTTAGTTTCTGCTCTGAGTGATTATAATTAAACTGTGAAATCAGAAGGGAGCCGAGATCTGTCGAGTGAAAAGAGAAGGTTAAAAACATATTGGATTTCGGAAATAAAATCCCAATCTTTAAAAGTTTTTTGCGACCTTTAAATGACGAAGGTCGCAATAGGACATTTATCAAGTTGTCTTCATGAGCTGACACAGTTAATAGATTATTATTATTATTATTATATTATTGTTCTGCTTCACGGTACCTGACAGTCCACAGTTCCTCCCAGGCTGTCGGCAGCAGGTGGCTGAAGCAGCTCCCATGTCCCTCCCTTGTCGAAGGTGATGACAGATCTCATGTTGTTCTCGCTGACCGAGCCGTTGATGAGCGTGGCGATGAAGATGCCTCGCAGCCCCTCGAGGCGATGCAGGTCTGCAAAAGGCTCATTGGCAAAGTACCTGAAAGACAAAGAGGGCACATTAAGTCAGGGAGCAACACTTTGTTTGATAAATGTACAAATTAAAAGTGGAGTAAGTGATTGTTATCCAATACACTGATATCTTTACCTTCTAGCTGCCTGTGCTGTGCTGTGTGTGTGTGTGTGTGTGTGTGTGTGTGTGTGTGTGTGTGTGTGTGTGTGTGTGTGTGAAAAAAACTGAAAAGAAAACAAACAAAGTGGCTGAAACTAAAAACTATTTGAAATTTTGCGAAACAGGTTGGATACTCAAACGTTTCAAACCAGAATAGCACTCAGTCGAGCGAATATCTCCATCAAGGCCCGTCTGTCCTCATTCATGTCCTCATTCATGTCCTCATTCATGTCCTCATTCATGTCCTCATTCATGTCCTCATTCAATCATAGAACAGTTTCTTTTTTTGTGCATGATTTTTTAGATTCCTGGAAAAAACTGTGAACTCACAATGTCACAGAAAGCTTTCTGAGATAATGGAGATATTTTCTGACCCATTCCACGTCTTTCCACCAAGTTTCGTGGAAATCCATTTGGTTGGTTTTTCGTGCAATTTTGCTAACGAAGACGGGGGTGAAAACATAACCACCCGGGCAGAGGTAAAAGATAAGTGCTATGATCAGAGGAGAGCTTTGTTAACAAGGCTTTCAAAAGGTGGAGCCTGCATCGATCTAATGTCCTTCTCAACAAACCACCGGCCCACTAACGTCTGATTGCAAGAGCGACGATGGTGCATAGACCTCAGAGTGGTCGTTAAAGGCAGGAAGACGGGTATGGAGGTTGCTCTGTTTCTGCTCGACAGGTGACGGTAGTGCTGCAATGGTAGGTTAATGTATAGCAGAAGAAAATTTCTATCCATGTCTGCAGCTGATTAACTGAATTCATCAACATTGTGAAGTTTTCTTTAGGTTTATCACAACTACATGAGGATGAGAAACAAACACAAGGTCCACAGTTAATGTTTACGGCACATTGCGTTAAAAACAAGCCTGAGCCAACACTGTTTATACCGAAGTAACACTGAATCTTCCACATGTGGTAGAAGAATAAACAAAAAACTACACTCTCTTCTCTGCAGAGGACTCATCTGACTCAAACAGGACCAGGTGATTTTTAATACATTCTGAGAAATTACTAAAAGCGCGTTTTCACTTTGTCAGTATGGTTAATATTTGAATTAATTCAAATCAAATGAATTAAACAACAGGATGGATATATAGGTAAGATCTTGTCTGATGACTAATGTTCATATAAGTAACATGATCTTGTGCATGAATGTGATGCATGCCCCCCCCCCCTGTGTTTTAGTTCTCTCAGGCTACTCCAGCATCCTCCCACAGTCCAGTAAGATTAACTGTGGACTCTAAATTGTCCGTAGATGAGCATCTGAATGGTTGATTGTCTGTGTTTGCAGTGAATGTAAATATTTAACGAAGCCAATAATGAGTAAAGCACAAATGGTTGCAACGTTAAATACCTCTGCACGAACACAAGCAGCAGTATTTCTTTCAGGATAAAATGCTGAGCATATTTTTATGGTATGTTCATGACGCCTCAACTTGCAAGCTCAACAACTTTGGAGTGAGCCAAAATATTGCAGAGTGGAAAGCATTTGATGTTTTAACAGGATCATGTCGTGTTAGTAATCTGAACAGTGAGAGGAGGAACAAGCTGCAGAAAATAATGATTGTGGCCTCGAAAATTATAGGGAAGAGCAGCTATGTAGCGAATATGATGAGCTCTTATGAAGTAAAGCTGACAGAGTTATTATTAACGACCCGCCTCATCCACTGTACTGTTGTAAATTAGACATTTTACCTTCAGGGAAACGTTACAGATCGAGAGATATAGAAATCCTTTGTCCCAAGTGCAGTCGAGGTAATAAATGGATCTGACTGCTCCTGACTCTGCTGCAGTTTCTTGCACAATATAGGTGAATGTGACGTAGTTTATCGTGGACACGTGGATCAAATTTCCACATTGCTGATAAAACATTATATTCGTTCTTTCTTCCCTATCACTTCCATTTCTACCTTCACCTTCTTAATTGAGGCATGTCTGTCTGTCGGTCTGTCTCTCCAGCTGCTTTGAGACATACACTGACCTCCGGAGTTTCTCCATCTTGTTCGCAAAATGTCCAGATGAGCCGAACACAGGATGAGATCCTTCGCTGGATTCACCAAAAGTGAGCGGCCGGTAAAAGTGTGATTAGAAACTATGCCTGTGTTGCTTTGCTGTAAACAAAAACATGTGATATCCGCTGCAAAATTCGCACATCGGGTTATTCATGGGTGTTTAACTGAGGACCCAAGGAAGCGCAATGTTGTAGACAACATCAAAAATACAGGAATAAAATATTCAATATGCAACCATCCAACTGACAGCAAGGTTTTTCCTCTCACAGCTCAAAGAGGTGCAGGTTAATTAACCTGGTAACGAGTCCCAAGAAATCTGAATAACATAAAAGTGTGTCAAGTTGTTTTTCTGTCAGCCCAGTCATCCCGATGCACATTTCAAACAGCCGCTGCACTGGCCGAATAAATAACAGGACGAAATGGATATAACATAAAAGTTATTTGGTTAAAACGTAATTGTCTTTTCACGGAGCGCCACATCTCAGCTCATCTACAGGCCGGAGCTCTGTCGACCGGACTTGACTGCATGAAAAAACATTAGCTGGGTTACAGAACAGTTGGACAAACTAAAGAGAGGAAGGCTCGTTTCAAACCAAGGCTTGTGTGCTGTATAATTGATGATAGACGTCTGTGGTTTTTTCATTTGGAGAACTCTTATGGAATGAGAGAGAGAGAGAGAGAGAGAGGGGAGGAGGGGGGAGGAATGCTGTGTTTGTGTGTGGATCAGTGAGTCTTAATAGTGTAGAGTAAGAATTTACCCCTCAGCAATAATTACCCTTCTTTCCGTGCTGCCTCCTCTGTGTAAGTGACAGTTAAATATTAATCTGAGAAGTTTTTGACTTTTCATTCCGTGGACATCTTGTATGTTTACGTCCACTCCCTCCACTTCAAGGACGTAGCATTGAAGCATAGTCACTTTATTTTCAGGATCTGCAGCATAGAAGTGATTG